CAAGGATACATTTGGAAATTAACATTTACAAGTGCGACAATAACAACAAATAAAAATAGATAAATAATGAAGCTAAGAAAATAAAAAATACTTACTATTTGGCACAAACAGTAAGAGATATGATTGCTGAAAAAAAACAAAAAACAAACTATGTGCACATACACTAGTAACAGTTACTAAAAAAGGTCCTAAGTAAGTCCTTTAAAAAATTACTGGCAGGTGTATATTTTGAATTTTAAAATAAACTGTTTACGTAATAAAAAGTAAAACTAAAAATATGCAATTTTTTAAAGTGATCATTAACTTAAAAAATAGCGTCAAAGATGTAATTTAAAAAGTCTATGAAATATGTGAATGATTTTTATTACTTATAAAAAACGGTTTTTAAATTTTATAGATTTGGTCTGTAAAAGAAAACGATAATTTTGTCTGTTTTCACGACAAAAACGAAAATTTGACATCAAGTTATAAATCTGTGATATTGACCCCAGAAATACTTGCCTTTGAAAAACTTATTGCTTTTTTTTATATAAAAGAAATTAAATATCTTCCGATATTGCATCTTAAAACAACAAATTCTTTATTACTATTTTAAAAATCAAAAAGTTTAAAAAACATACAATTTTTAATTTCAACTGAGCACTGACCCATCCTCGAAATAATGACCAACTTTGGAATAAACGTTTACAATGGAAATTTGTGGATCCAATATTACCGAAAATAAGGTACCTTTTCTCGAATTTCTTATGAATTTTGTTTTGTATCTAAGAGTCTTGTGTCGTATTTTAACTTTTTTTGTTGCTATGATCAATTATCGATAATCCATAATTACTTTTTTTTAACCTTTTCTTGATTAATTACTTTTTTTTCATACCGTTTTTAACTGCAGAGAACTTGATCTATTGTTAATTCTTTAAATATTCAGCCACTTTTTAAATATTTAAAAATGTTCGAAATTTAGAAACTGCACTTTAAAAGAATCAGCTTTAAAAATTAAATTCCTTTCTTGTGACCGCGATTTTCTCACGATTTTCCGTGTTCTTCAGTTTTTGAAATTTATAGAAAGATAAATTAATATCTTTTGTTTTAAATGAACAATAATATTTTAGAAGCTTAAAAAATGCTTCCCTGATTGCTTTGAGGTGTTTCTTTCTATGATAATTCTTTCAGAACTGTCCTCAATCTGTAAAAACTGCCTTAGTTACCAGTGACAGATATGACGTTGGCATTCCTGATTTTCCCAAATCGGTTCCATCAGGTTTATTTGGCTAGAAAGAAATAATTCATTTACTTTAGTTTAATTATCTCTTATTTCAGTGAGGTCTTATTTTAAATTATTTATTAATTTTAGTTGACTTTATTAATTGATTTTTTTTGGTTTTATTTTGCATGAACACTTGAGCAAAAAAATAAATTAAAAATTATTCAAATAAACAAAATCAAGCCTTTATTTTTCTAAATATTGTGAATAACTTTTTAAATTATTTTATTATCTGATTTTATTTATCTGAACGGCAGGTTTGAAGAATTTTTAATTAGCACAGAAAAATAATTGTAAGACAAAAATGTGTGGGTCAGTACTCCATTGAGATGTTGAAATAAATAATTTCTCAGTTTTCATCTTTCAAATTTAAAAAAAAAATTCTCTATTTGTTAAAAATGACTTTTTTTTTTTCCAATTCAAAATTCTTTTAACGGTTTCTCTGTAAATTTGAATGACAATTTCTGTCATAATCCTATTTTACTCACGCGACAAATATAACCGAAAAAACTGAAAACATCCAGATACTCTCTGGCACAAGACCCGATTTTAAAAATTAAACATGATAATTTATTAAATAAAATCATTAAAGAAAGTAAATTGCTTGAAGTCCAGTGCTGGTAAAAAAAAAAAATGAAACACTTAGACAGAGTCTTAGAGTTTTGCAGAAAAATAGCGGTTTATTAACAACGAAAACCAACAATTTTATAATTTATATCATAACGAAAATATAGCAAATGTTTGTTTCTCAAGAGCCTGGAATAATTAAAGGATGCGAGTCGATAACTGAAGTAAAAATAAAGACGTCCTTAATATGGTGTGTAGTTTAATTGATTATTACTCTTTAACTAATGGTGTGTACCGTTTAAATTTTTAAAAAATGAACGAACGATGTTGTTATCACCTGTGAAATAGCATAAAAATGTCTTTTTGGTACACCCGTAGGAATTGATATTCTTAGTGTGGAACTACTAAAAAAAAAATCAAATACACATTGAGATTTAATTAGCTTTTTGCTTTTTTTTTTTTTTTTAAAAAACTAAGTTGAAGACTTGTTAGAATAGATGGGTGAAATAATTTTTTATTTCTTGAAATATGGAATTAGAAAAAAATAGAAATAAACATTTTGTTCACTTTCATTCAATTCAACAAAAATAAAAATCACATGCAAAATATTACATTTTCAAAAATAGCTTTTTAAATTTTTAATTAAAGCTAAGTCACTAAAATGATCTGTGATGGGGGCAAGAAACTTGATGTTTTTTAATTTATTTTATCCAGAAACCTTAAATAACAATGATATTGAAATCCCAAGATGGATCATAGATGACAAAAAGATCCAACTAAAGTGTACTTGATCATTTTTTTTGTTTTTGTTTTGAAGAACAGCAAAGATAAATTTTATTTAATTAATAATCACTGGATAATGAAGACGGAAGAAAAAAAGATTGAATAAATTTCAGCTTCTTAAATCTTAATTTTTTATATCTTTAATTATTTTTTTTAAATTTATTTATGAGACTTACTTTTAGATTTAAACTAAATCTAATAATAAAAATATTGATAAATAAATACCAAACCAAATAGTCTTTATTCCAAAAGAAAAAACTAAAAAACACAAAAACCATTATCATGCTTAAGCTATTTGTATTTATCATCAAATATTGTGTTGTAATAATAATAAAAAAAAGAACTGTCTTGTTTGCTCTGTCAGGAGCACAATAAATTCAGGTCAAAATAAAAATTCAAGATTGTGAATGACCCATGTAGATGTCGAAGTACCGGTTTTATTGTTTTCTTTTTATGTAAAGCATAGAAATAAATTATTTTTAGCCTTTTTTTTTTAAATAAATGCCTAGAGATTTATAAAAAAAAATCTTCTGCATGAAAAGAGGTGCTGAAAAGTTCTTAGCTCGACCCAGTTCCCTAAAATTTGACCAAAAATTAGTGGCGAGGGAATCCCTTCTTGGTATGACCAAGAAGAACCTTTCAGCGTAACATTGTAAAAAGAATGCAATTCTTTGGTGCTTGCTGCAAGAAACAAAACAAAATCAGTTTTTTTATTTAAAGAAAGAAAATCCAGTTTTGTTTTGGCTACAAATTAAAAAATGTGTATCAAAAATGGGAACACCTTCAAGTCGTCATTTCAATCAAAATTATACATGGTTCTTTCTTTTCCTATATTTATTAGTGGGATTTCTTCTTTTACTATAAAATTAGTTAAACTTATATTATTTTAAAAATTATTTTTAAACAATCTTTATAAAATAATGAGTTTAACAAATTGTTCGGTAGGTTTAAAATTCCCTCTCTTTTAAATAAATGATAGGATCTCGCTTGAAGTTCGTTTTAAATTCGTCTAAAAAGACGAATTTAAACGAACTTTAAGATGCTAGACTTTTCTTTTGTGTCCAAAATATTCAGTTTTCTTTTCAAAAGTTAAAAAAACGTAAAACAAATCGAGATTTTGTGGCGAAAAGTCTTTCGTTTTTAGCAAAAACAAAAAAATATTTTAACGGTTGATGATAGATTTGTAGAGAATCGACGTTAAACATGGAGGAAAAGGGAGTGTTTGATCATCAGGCAACAATAAAACATCCAACCTTATCACAAAGAAAAATAAAAGAATAAAAAGCATGCCCAACAAAAACAATCAAGAATATTTTACAAATAATCGAATTTACTATGAATTTTTAAATAATTTTTCATTTTAAAAACAAAATAAAATTCGGATTTTGTTAATTTTCTGGGGTTTTTTTGTCACTGTTTTGATAAAAATGAATTTTAAAACAAAGATTTTTTTTTCGATATTAGGGGAAAATAAAGGAAAAACATTTCAAAACAAACGAAAATGATTTTTTAAACAATGGCACTATTTTTGGTCCACGCGTGAAAAAATAGGGAAAAAAATATTTTATGGCAGTAATTTTTGTTAATTAGCAATCTTTTTAGATTTTTAAGTTGGGACACTTGTCAGAATCGAAAAATATTGATTCTTTTTAATCATTTTAGAAGGGGGTCCATTTCATAATATCGATACAGTGTAAAATCGATCCCTGACTTTTACAGAGTTACCGGGATTTTGAAGTTTGTTTACAAATGTCAAGAATGCTCATTTACAAAAATGATACCCCACAAAATATTTTTCTTTTTTTTTCCCAGTGGACCAGTGTATTTAATTAGTTCCTTAAACAATAAACGAGGAAGCACAACCTTTTTAACATTTTTTTTTGGGGGGGGGATCTCTCAAATTCAACATGTCTCTCTCATCATAAGGGTTTCTTTTTTTTTTTTCTTTTAAAACTTGTCACAATAATAGTTTCCATTGCAAGTCTAACAGAAAATGGGGATCCACCCGGATTGATAAGGCTCTTTATCACAGTCTCACAATGTTCTCAAACTCAAACAACAAAATTTAAGTCTTTCTTTCATTTAAAAAATGAAGGCTTTTTTTTATTTTTTAAAATCCTTAAAAGCAAAAAATCTTATTTTGATGAATGCTAATGGGTTTAAAGTTATTTAAATATTTTTAGATTGGAATAATTCTTTTTTATTAAGATAATAATGATTTAATAGTGATACAAGTTTTACTAATACCCATAGCTGGGTGGTAGAAGTTGGATTCCTACCTTTCACAAGGGTATTTTAGCATAAGTAAATATAATGAACCCAATTGGAACTTGGCTCTCTGGTTAACAATTCTGAGCCATTATCCATTACACTACCTGTACATCCAAGTTTACAGCATCTGGTATTCCCATATGGTCACCCACCTGACCAGACTCAATGTTGCTTAACTTCAGTGATCATATGAGAACTGGTGTTTCAATATGATATGGCCATAAGCCTGGTTTAAAATTAGTTTATTTTAAGGTTAGGGTTAAGTGTTGTTCATAATTTTTATCATTCAGGTTAGTTTATACTAGTGTTTATACTATAACACTAAAACTATAAAGTTAATTTTAGTCTTGTCAAATAGGAATTTATAGTTTGAAACTTGATTCCAACAATTAAATCTCCTCTGTTGACACTATTAGCGAAAGAAATAGTTCAATTGTCAAAAGAAAACTTGGAATTTTAATGAATCTCTATAAAGTTAGACAATATAAGAATTTGTAAAGTGCACATTCTCTTGAGATTAATCAGTCAACCTATTAATTGTTGACATACAAATTATTATTATTATTATTAATACCATTTCAACCCAATAACAGTGGCTAGTGCAAACCTTTCTAACATTTATTTTGTCTTGTGTTTTTTTTCACATTTTTTTCTTAATTTGAAAAAAAATAAAATGACCAGCCACTCCCTCCCCAATGATTACAAGGCAAAACTAAAATATCTCTTTCTATATACTGTGTTTCTTTAGGATGTATCAGTCATGGTCATCCACAGCTTCTTATCTTTGGTTGTTCTCTGCAGTATTTCTTCCTTCATGATTGCTTTATTTTTGTGGCACTTGTCTCTCCATACATTTGCTCAAACTTGTCAGGTTGGTTATTTGTTTCATTCTTTTACTTCTGTTGCTTTTGATGCCTTGTGAGTGTTAACTTTTCCAACCCTTCATTCCTCATTGTGTCACAAAAATGTCTTAGAAGCATTTCCATTGTAGTTCCTATTCTCCATTGTTGAATATTTGGTCCATGATAGGCTTAATATTTATCAGTAGAACAACATCTTAGTTGCCTCGGTTTTTTTATTTGTGATGACTATTGTTCAACATCATAATAGGCAACTTCTTCTATTGCTATGTACTTTGATATTTTTGTATCACATTGTTGTCTGTTGCTATTCTGCACATACTAAGTTTAATTTGGCATGAGACCACAACTATGGGTCACCTAGTGAGAATCAAAGTAGCAACTATCAAGCAAATTAACCTTTCTCTCATGATGATGAGGTGCCTCGTCAAATTAGAGTTAATGATGGAAGCAGTTATTTTATTTTCTCTAAATCACAGGCACATGCCATAGCTAACAAACAGGTCTCCCTAACTCTTCATTAATAGTGCTTATAGCCCCAATGAAGCTCCATTCTTTGAATGTCTATTGAGTTTAAAGCTCACTCCTGTTGGTGTTAGTCACAATGAGCCCAACACAGGGCAAGCTCTGTAGATCATCTCCTGCTCGTGCGTGCAGCTTATTTTTTTTTTTTTTTTTTTTTAACAAATTAGTGATAGTTTTAAAAGTGCTACAACCGTACATGCACTTTATCAAAGTTCCAAATGGTGGTTCTGACCAGGGAGGTAAGACATCACCGCCTCTTAACTATGGGTAAGTTAGAGTTCTTTGATTTTATTTCATCATGACTCCAAACCTTAAGAGGTCATTGTACATTCATATCATTGCAAAAGATGCTGGAAAAATGGTCAGTTCCTTGAATCTCTTCAGAAAGTACCAGACTCCTGCTGCCATGCTTTATCTTTACAAGAATCAGATCAAACTAAAAAAAGTGGGTATTGCTGAACTGGTGCTGCACAATCCTCACTATCCAACCATGACAGAGTTTAACATCGATTACACAACCCTGTGGGTCATGAATTATTTTCCACCCTTTAATCCTTATCCTATAGATGACATGTTGCTAACCTCTCACTACAATATTGTTATTTCCATGGCAAATGTTAAGTGAGCTACATACCTTAGTTCTGCCAGTTCAGACCTTCATAGCTAGGACTCGTGATGTTATGTACATAACGTCAAATCATCCTCATTCCCTTTGTATTCTATTGGTCAGGAAGAAGTTCTACTCAACTTCTTTCCTAGATTTATTACATTGTGGAACAGACTCCTGAGGGGATGTTTCCCAATCACTACAATCCTAACCTCTTCTAATCTAGGGTCAACCGATATCTATCCTACATATCCTCATAATATGGACTTCCTCCTACCCTTACAATAATCTCACTCAGTAATGCTCTACCTTGCATGGCTCTTGAGCTTTGTACTAAGTGAATTTTACATAATTGTTGTGAAAGGATACTGAATTTTTGAGACGAAGTGACTATTTACACTATTTACATTCTTCCGACTGTTGCCTTCATCTTTATTATCATATTCACAACGTTTCGGCTGTTTTATGCTTGGCCTTCTTCAGGAGATGCATGTTGAAATTTTGAACTGAAACCTTTATTTTGTACACTGGGGTAGGTGGTTCTCATTCCATGCCTTTTCTGGATACATAGTGTAAATAGAAATTCCTGTCATCATCAAGCCAGGATGGATGAGTCAATCTTGCTGATGTTTACAAGTTTTGAGACTTGACTCTCACTCTTCTGATCTTGTGCCAATCGTGCAGATTCTTAGTCGGTATCTACAAGTGCAACCCCCCACCACCACCACCATACAAAGTTAAATATCACCACTTGGGAGATGAGTCGGGAAAAATGCCTGGCAACAGACAGTTGTAAATTTTCCACCCGAACGATCAGTATTCAATAAAAGACGAAGCATTATTTCTTCATTAATTTTTTAAAAAAATCCTAACAATCGTAACAAACAGTTCATCACCTTTTATAAATATCTGAAGATTGTATTTAACATGAAACTTGGATTTGTACTATCAACATAAAGTAATATGTATATTCATTAATATCTACTTTATAGCCCTATAATACCACAATGAGCACTGTTTCGTTTACACCAAAAATTAAATATTTATTTTCAAATTTATATATGCAAGTGATTGCATGCATGTATGGCTGCTTCTATCTATATTTATTTAATTCACACACACACACACACACACACACACACACACATATATATATATATATATATATATATATATATATATATATATATATAATTTTGTGTATTTAGACAGAAATACCTCATTTGTACATGTTTCATTAAAGATGACAGACAAGATACTGTGATTAAGCTTTTTTTTTTTTTGAATGTTTTCTTTTCTGGGCATAGTGTGTAGAAACTGTCCAAATGTTCTGTAATTACAAGCACTTTTGGCTATACTTTTACCTATTATCAAGGATGACTTTATTTTTGCTTTTTAACTGGATGTTTGGATTGTATGTATGCTTCTAGAATTATAGGGATGTTTTATTTTCTAAGCACAGTTAGCACATTGTGGCCATGTTTCTAGTTAATGCTACTGAATGTTGACTTTTTCTTTTTTATTATTAAGGCTTCCATTATTTTTAATCTTTTTTTACACATAGATGAGGTTATTATGTTTGTATTTTCCACTAGTATATTTCAGATGGTGTCTTGTAAGTTTGTGTGTGCTTAAATGGATTCTAATGGAGCTGTGCTTGGATAGATGTAACATAAAAGGTCTTGATAGGCATGTAGTAGTGTGACCAATGTAATTATTTATGCATTCAGTTTGATCAGGAACACAGTTCCTTAAGGGACATTTGAACTCATAAAAAGCTTAATTGCAGTACCATATCTGTCATCTTTAATAAATACACAATATATATATATATATATATATATATATATATATATATATATATATATATATATTACCCATATAAAAAAATAATTACAAATTGCATTCATAAATTAGATTCAAACTGATAAAGATGTTACTGTAACTATTTTTTTTTTATATTAAAAAAAAGTATGATTGGTCGGGTAAAAAACTTATAATTTAAAATATTTTTTTAATATGTTCTCTATAAATGTGTTAATAAATATAGTATTTAACTTATATTAAATCCCTAAACTATTTGTTAAAAAAAATTAAATATTTAAATTGATAGCAAGCATCATATTAATTTCTTCCTGTTTTTTAGACATCTAAATTACTATCAAGCATTAAAATCTATTTTTTACATAAATTGCTAAAACCCAATTACAGCCTCTTTCTCTTTACTTCCCTCTCCTGCTTCTTTCTTTTTCCTTTTTCCTTTTCTCCCTTCTTCCCTCCCATTTCAATATATCACTTCCCTTAAGTTAACCGTCTAAATAGGTCAAGGTCTGGTCACTCCTCCTCCCTCAATACAAAGTACGCTTGAGAGAGATATGAAATTAATCCCTCCTTATACTCTACCATGTCTCTTTAACTACTCCTTTTACACTCTCTGTTAAATTACAAAAACTTACACTACCCATCAATTTTAATTTCATTTTTTTCGTTTCATTTTTTTTTGAAGTGCTATCTGATGATCCGGCGTCCTTTAAAAAGGGCTCTGGTGAAATAAATTATTATAATGGTACCTTAAAGTGGTTTGTTTTTCTTTATAAATATATATATATATAGAGAGCCCGCATTGCCCATATATAACATATATATATATATATATAAGTATATATACCATCATAAAGACTGAAAAATAAATTTGACAAAGATTATTGTTTAAGGTTGACGGACACGCATGTCTTAATTAGTTATTTTTAATTTTGTTTTTTGTTTTTTTTTTTTTTTTTTTCGTTTCTTGGTCAAACCCAAACTCAATCAAAACATTGTTTTCAATCGTTATATGAGTCTACTGATTGAATAGAATTTTATTATAAACAATTGTCTTGTAAATGGAATTTTTTTAGCATTCTGAATGTAAAAAATAAAAGAAAAAAAATGCAAGACAATAAGAAACAGTAAAACCAAAAAATAAGTGGAGTTTTGTTGAAATCGGTTTATCTAAATGTAGGAAATCCGATCCCATATATAAAACGAACACACACACACACAAAAAACCTGGGTTTTATAATAAGTATAACTCGATATGAGTTGTCCCCCTTTCATTAATGCCTCTTAATAGTGTTTTCAAATTGATTTCATGCAAAAACAATTGTGTTTTTCCAATTTTTGGCACTGTCAGAACCACCACAAGGTAATTTTATGTAGTCCTGTGAAGTTTTGTTGAAATCGGTTGAAAAAT